AAAAAAAAAAAAATTATTAAAATAGAAAATCATGCCAGACACGTGTGCATATGTGTCCAAGATCCTAGGAGGAGAATCAAGAAGGATTGTGGCATGGCCATCCCTTCTAGGGAGTGATTTCTTACTTTCCCTCTCTCTGTCTCTGCCTCTCTCTCTTCAATGAGTACCTGCTCCCTAAGGCAAAACCCTCTAAAATAAAAAAATAATAAAATTAAGTAAAGAGGGACCAGCAGATGACATAATGGCTACGTCGCTGGACTCCCATGTGGTCGAGTACGGTTCAAGTCCCAGACCCGGTGGCTTAAACTCACACTGGGCGCGTGTGCGTGCATGCCCAGGATCCCAAGGGGAAAATGGAGGAGAAGGGATGATGGCGTGGCCATCCCCCTAGGGGGTGGTTTTCTCCCTTTCTGTCTCTCTGTTTCTTTTTCTGGTGAGCGTATGCACCCTATAGCAAAAAATAACTCTCAAAAAAAATAAGTAACTAATATTTTTAGAGGTTTCTGGTTAGGATGCACACATGAGAGAGAGAGACAGAGAGCGAGAAATCACCCCGAGGGAGGATGGCCACAACACAATCCTTTCTCCTACATTCTCCTCCTGGGATCTTGGGCACACGCACTCAACGTGAGTTTCAAGCCACCAGGTCCAGGACTCGAACCATGGTAGGCCATGTGGGAGTCCAGTAACGTAACCACTATGCCATCTGCTGGCCCAAGTAAATAATTTTTGAGAGAGGCCTGTATATAAGCAAACAAACGGCCTGACTTCTTGCTATGGCCCCCACCGCGTAACTCCTCTTTCTGGTCACGCTGGGTTGCTGGGAGGGCCACGACCGTCTCACACAGGAAGGTGGACGCGCGGGGAGACTGGGAGCTTCTGGGCAGGAGCGTCCCCCAGACCCTGCCTGCAGGGAGGTGTGCTAGGCACAGGCCAGGCAGAGCTCGGCTGGTGCGTGCAGACCTGTGGCAGCACGGTGGGGACAGCCAGCCCTGCCCTGTATGCGGTGTGGCCAGGGCGACAGGGCCAGGGCGATGGGCTGTGCTGCCGCTCCACTGCAGTGCCCCTCTGCAGCTGGGGGGGG